GAATTATTAAAATAAATGAATAGAACTTATGACATTCTATCAATTACCTAATTTGTATAAGCAGTATATGTTAAAAAATTTAACGGTTAACTATAAGGAAAATTTTTCAATTACTGTTACACAAATAAATTTAATTATAAAATTGATCTGCATGCGACATGTCCGACGCTTGTTATAATTTGAATCGCCGATCATACGCGAGGTGGTGAAAATGTTTTTCAGGTTATAACCATGCCTAAAAGAAAATCAGAAAAATCCAAATATCGCAGTTGGAGCGCATACTTTGATGAAACGCAACCAGAAGACTATCAATTTCTGGGTTTTTATGAGCACCGTTCGAGGCAGACGGATTTTGCTTCCTCATTTCAGAAGGAGTCGCACAAGCTGAAAAAAGATCTCAGTGAACTGATAAAGTCTGGCTCGGACGAAATGAAGGAGGGCGCCCGTCGATTGGAAAAGATTCGTAGGGTAAGGACCTTGTCTATCTTCTGTCATTGTTTTTTTGCATTGGGAGGCTGAACAAGACTTTAACGGCTATACTGCGCGCTGGCTCGTCTAATGTCTTGTCTATATGTACCGCAAAGTGGTGAGGTTGCAATAGCCTATCTTGCGGGAAGGAACCCACACAACTAAGGGTGGCATCTGCGTGTTGTCCACCTTACGGTCTGCGTGTCCGTTGTGGTTGACTCCTGCAATGCTTTCCTCGTGTATTCTTAAAACGGTTTATTAATTGATTCTTTGTGATTTTGATTTAAGGGGCATCGTAAGTACTTCAAAGATGTCAATATGTTCTGGAATCAAGTCGAGAGACGTCATAGCGAGGTGAGGATTCCTAATAAATTTTTAGTCAGTCTAAACAAACTCAGGATCATCGTTTTTTTTTCTTACAACTACAGGCGGAGGCTTCTAGCTCCATAGTGCGTGATACAACAAAAGTTTTTAAAAATTCAATTGAAAATGTCAATGACTCCATTAACAATGTTAATAACACAGTGGTATGGAATTGGAATTATCATTTTTTTTGCTGATTTGCATGTTTATTATAAAGATTACTTAAGTCAAATTGTTCTTACCAGCTCAAATATAATAAAGAGAATCGCGTTCCTAGCTTAGGGAAAAGAAGAAATTTGGATGATCGCGAAGAAGGACAAATTCAAATAAGAGACAACACAAAGATGATCACACTACGCCACGAGCCCGCTCTGTATCAGTCGAAGTCAAGTATTCTCCTCAGCCCATGTTAATAGAATCACCAGAAGAATCCGATACTCTTTCGGGTATTGATATTGTGCCCAATTGTCCAGCAATAATTAATGATGTTGTAGGACTAGAATTGGGACCATTACCTCGAAAAGAATCCAGATGGTTCGTGGATGACCGGATGTCTCTGAAAAATGGCATCGTTTTAAGGAAAAATCGCTGGAATTGGCGAATAGAGAAGGCCTTTTTGTGGAAAGCCACACACAGCAGATATTGTATGCTCTTAATTGTTTCGTTTGCTAGGTTACTGCGGAAACTAATTGCAATTATCTTAACTGTATAGAACCTTATCACACATTCTTTTATTGAAGCCCAAACAACATTCTCCGTTAATGGTGGAGGGTTTCGGTGATGAGTTACTAGAAATGATGCACAAGGATATCATACAGAGACTTACCAAGCAAGAAACAGAGTTTGATTGTGAAATGTTGATGGAGCTTATTCGCATTGTTAAGGTATAATATCTTCTTTACACTTACCGGGGGGTATCAAAAGTATTGCACGGTTTTATTTTTAGCAATAAAATTTTTTTTTATTAAGATCGCAGTAGAT